CTGGCATACATTCTACAAGTAGAGAGCCAGAAGAGATGCATTAAAATGCGGCCCAATACAATGCCACCGAATCTTCGCTTTCGTGCCGGATACCACAGTCCAATTTCCGCCTTCTTCAATATGCCATCTTCTTCCGTTGCCGACCTCAGCAGCATCTTGACGTGCTCGATCGCAGTCCTCGGCGCCATGTACCCGCAAGGTAGACGACCTCTCCATGGGACCTAGGTAGACGCAAGCAGCTCATCGCCCACTTCCTGTAGATACCCATCTCATGGAGCTTGGCAGCATCGTCGGCGTCCCCGAGGTAGCCGAGCCCCAGAAGCCGACGGCCCCCATCAAGTTTATGGGCACGCGACTGCGTTGCATGGAGCTCGAAGAGAAACTGGCTGCGCTGATAGCCAAGGTACGGATCCCCATGGTTGGCAACGCTAAGCGAGCACGCGTGATGTAGCTCACGTCGGTCACGTACCCCTTCAAAGACGACGTGTTCGACGCCATGTCTTCACTGCGCCAGCACGACCAGATGCTGTGCGAGCTCGAAGAGTACATTTCCGCAGATCTCCCTGCGAAGGAAGAGTTCCTATACGGTACGACGTGCTTGAAATGTAGGCTCCGGCGACCCATGACTGCTCCGTACTAGGCAACTGCGCGAACATGCGCGCGACGATCCGCGAGACTATGCAGTACCTGCAAGTGCAACTCCAGACGACGTTTGACGCCAAGGGCCAAGCCGATTACCTCATGCGGCCCCTCCGTCGCAAAGTCCACCACGCGCGGAAGCTTCTCACGGTCCTTCGGAAAAAGGCAAGCGCCATCCTCCACCACCACGCGCTAACGATGACCATGCTTAGGTGTTTTTACACAACGACTCGACAGACGTGGGCGTCCAGCTGCATACGATCGAAGCGCTGCTCCTCGACGCGGAAGAGACCGATCTGCAGTTTGACTGCCACGCCTTCCATTACGGCCGCGATCTCTTAATAGAAGAAAAGGACCGCATCATTGCCGAGTGGAAGCTCGTGCGCCGGGACATTCGCCAAGTGCGGCGCGCGACCAAAGAAGGGCCAGCTTCGTCGTCGTCGCCGTCCAGCAGCAGCAGTCTCCTCGAGTTCCGCGCCGCGTCGCCATGCCAGTACTAATCCATGCTCGTGCTTGCAACAGTGGAAGAGACAAGAAAGGCGATTCGATGTCGTTTGCACGCAATACATTGTTTTTGTCTTTTTGTCGTTGGACAACCTTGCACTAATTTTACACCAACCCGCGGCTTCTTTAAATCGTTTGACATTGGTACTTCCAAATGCACGCAAAACAGTCGCCCGAGCCCGTGGCGAAGAAGGGCGACGCCGGCGACGACGCCACACTGATGACCGAGTTGCGGTACCCGCTGAGCGTCAGCACCGACCGTGCCGTCCGCGGGTCCCAGAAGATGACCGACCGATCCTTGGAGCCCGACATGATCCATCTACAAGACACGAGTGAGATCCTGGTCGCTAGAGGAGGAGGATGCGTACCGTCCATCGGGGGTGTAGGCGACCGAGAGGACAAAGTCCTTGTGGCCTTGGAAGAGCATGCGCGGCCGCGTGGTCGTGCGGCCCGACGCCGACACGTCCCAGAGCATAATGTTCTTGTCGAGCGAGCCAGAGATCACATTCTTGCCGTCCGGCGAAAACGCCAGCGAGTAGACCGAGTCGCAGTGGCCCTCCAAGCGGTCCATGAGCTGCGACGTCTCCGTGTTCCAAATGCGCACGACCTTGTCGAGCGACGCCGCCGCCAAGAGTCGGCCGTCCGGCGAGAGTGCCACGTTCGTGACACCATCGGCCGGGCCGCCCGTCTCCGTGCCAAACACGTGGCGGCACTCGCCCGAGCGCGCGTCCCAGAGACGCACCTTGCGGTCGCCCGAGCCCGAGACAATGAGGTTGTTGACGTAGTCGAGCGAGTAGATTTCGGCTTCGTGGCCGACGAGCGGCGGGCCTTCCTCGTTGGACGCAATGTCCCAGATGCGGATCGTGTTCTGGGGCATGCCGGCCACGAGCTTCGTGCCGTCGGGCGAGAAGCACACCGAGCGCACGTACGCGTCCTCGTTCTCGTTGGGCTGCGCGCCGTTGGCGTTGGTGATGGCCGGGCGCTGCACCCAGAAGGTGCGGGCACCGGTCGCGACGTCAAAGACCTGCGCCGTCTTGTGGCAGCCCGACGCCATCTTGGTCCCGTCCGCCGAGAAGCGGACGCAGCAGACGACGCTTTGGTGGTCGAGTGTGTGATGCATCTCGACGGTCGGGCGCTCCGTCTCCGGAAAGTGCGTGCTCGAGCCCTTGTTCGAGTACGTGATCGACCACTTGACCTTGCTCTGCTTGGAGCTCGACGAGCCGTTGGTCGAAAAGCCGGCATTGTTGCCGTTGGACGGCGTCGAGTTGCCACCGCCCGGCGCGGACGACGGCGGCGGCGTCACCGAGCCCGTCGACTCGTTCGTTTCGTTGTTCAAGTGGTGCATCTTGGGGTTGCCCGGCGACGACTGCATCGGTGCCGGGGCCGGCACCGACGACTTGCTCGAGCCGTTGCCACTCGACGACTTGCTTTCGGGGGCGCTCGACTTGATCTTCTTCATGACGGGCGACGAGTTGGCCGACGAGCCGCCAACGGCGGCCGACGCCGGCGGCGGGCCAGGAATGCGGTGGCGGTCGTCGTTCTTCATCACTTCACGGTCGTCGCCACGGCGGTCGAGGACATCGCGGCGGTCCGAGTCACGCGAGCTCGGGATGCCCGGCATGGCGCTACGACGGCCGGCCGTCGGCGTGTGAAGGTTGTTCTCAAGCGGCGCCAGCGAGGACGACTGCATCGGGGGAGGAGGGCCTTGGTGCGACGGGCGCTCGCGGCCACGCTGGTCACGCTCGTCGAGGCCGGCCGGACGGCCCATCGAGGGGGCCGGGGCGACACGGACGGGACTACCGCTGCGCTGGGAGCGCGCAGGCACCATCGGCTGGCCGGGGTTCATGGGCGGCATGACTTGCGGGGGCGGGGCCTGCTCGTCCGAACGATTCCGCTTGCCCGTCGACATGCCCATCTTGACACCGCCCTCCATTTGACGGCGCATACGGATGACGTCTTCCTCGTACTGCTGGCGCAAGCGGCGGTGGTTGTTCTCCAGCGCCTTGAGGGTCTGTTGAATCTGGTCCATCTCGGCGACCTGCGATTGGATCTTGCGCTCGAGCTCCATGTTTTCGATCTTGCTGATGTTAAGCTGCTGCAGGACGCTCTCAAACTCGTTCTTGGCGCTCTCGAGCATGTCAACAATGCGCGACGCGCTGCCGCTCACATGCGACGCTTGGTTCTGCGGCACGTTGACGACGCCGACGTTGGCGTTGCCGGGCGCGCCGGTCATTTGCATCGGGGGAATGTTGACGCTGGGGCCGCGGAGGTCGCGCATCTCCCGCATGTCGCGGATCGGGTTGACGTTGCCGACCGAGGGCACGTTGGGCACGCCGCCGCCGACCGCGCCGCCACCGTTCGGGTTCACTCGGCGGGGCACCGAGCCTGGTTGTCCACTTCCGGGGTACATGTTATAGATAGGTCTTCTAAGCACACATGCACAAGGATGAGATCTCGCCGCCCATGACCATGGTCGCCGCCGAAGCGCCCCGAAGCCGGCGCCGCCCGGCGGGCAGTCGCTCGGCGCCGAGGCTCGTCGACGTCGTCGGTGGCATCTACCTCTGTTGTTCGTGCTTGGTGCTTCCGGCTTCGATTCGGACGCCTGCTCGGTGTTGCTGGGGGAACCGTCAGTGGTCGGTCGCCCAAATTTGTGGTTAACAAAGAAATTCGAGTAATGAAGGAGGGACTTGTCCTCATCTTCGTTTTAAGCTTGCTTTCCGTATACCATAGTAAGCGGTCGCTATAATGTATACGCGCGACCCCGCCGATTTTAAAGCCCCCGCTTCAAGAATTGCCAACTGACAGTTTCAGTTTCTCTGTACGAGCCGACATCTTGGAATCTGTATGGACTCGATTTGAATTTTGAATTTTATCTGCGTGTCCATTAAAATCATGTTTTTAAATTCACTATGGGTTTGTATGTGGGCGGAATAAAAAGTGGCTGGTGCGAGAACAAGACGCCCGCGCCAGATGGCTCAGCGGATTGTCGTGGGAATAATAATATAACGCGAAAGAGGCAGGCCGCGTATTTAAATACAACGTGTTTAAAAAAGTGACTGGTGGAGAATTCCAGGCTTTTGGGTACCTTGTTGCGGGATCGCTCGTGCGACGTTCAACTTGGTGCGGAGGGATGTAGCGGCGCGGGCGACGACTATACAAGTCACTTCGCTGGAAACCGCGCACTGGCCCTTTATCCGGACGCGCGCAGTCTCCCGGCATCGCATCCGGCATGCGAATGCGACAAACGCACACGACGACGACGACGATGGCGTCATGGCGCCACGGATAGAATCACCGTCATTAGCCATGATCCACCCTAATGGGCAGCGATACATCCCACGATGAAAGCAAGGACGCGTCGTGCATGAGGGCACAAGGACGACCGAGGTATCTTCGATAAGAACTCGGCGTTGGAGCGCCGCAGGAGTGACGATCCAGCACCGATCAGGGCGTCCACGAGAGACTTGAACCTGCGCACCAATCAGCGGCCACCGCGCACGACTGCATCCGTTCCATTGTGTTGCGTGTGTTTAGCCAACTCCGTGTCTATACAACAACGGGGCACATATTCCACCGCGATGCGCGCCCTCGTTCGAATATTGGCGGCTACCGGGATGGGGCACGGCCCAAGTGATATCATATTGGCATCCCCTGCGCACTCAATATGTGAATATCAATATGTAATATGGGGCGGTTGGGAATGACTAATAAATACGCGGTCTCATGCAGCCGTCGACGACGCGGGCTTGAGGCGCTGGAACCAGGCGCGGAGCTCGGCCGCGCTCGGGCGGTCCTCGGGGTAGTAGGCAAGGCAGCGCCGAGCAATGTCCAAGATGGCAGGCGGGCACGTGTGCGAGAAGGACGGGCGCAGCTGCCCCGTCGTGACGAGCACGGCGACGCGGGACTTGGCCATCGTCAGCGAGACCTGCGAGTCGGGCGAGCACATGGCCACGTTCGAGTAGGGTACGATGCAGAGGTCGACCTCGGACATGGCGACGCCGAACGAGTAGATGTCGGCCTTTTCGCTGTACCGGACGCCTTTGAGCACTTCGGGTGCGATCCATGGCACGGTGCCAATCTCGGCCGTCATGACGAGGTCGCTGTCGCCGTAGCTCCGGCTCGCGCCAAAGTCAGCGAGCTTGGCGACCCAGTTGGCATCGAGGAGCACGTTCTTGGTCTTGACATCGCGATGGACGATGGTCGGGTGGAGGCAATGGAGGTAGGCGAGCGCGTCGGCCATGTCGGCGAGGATCGACACCTTGGACACCGGGCAGCACGGGTCGTACTCGGTGAATATCGAGAGCTCGGTCACGTCGCTCACTGTGAGGCGCGGGAGGGCCTTCTCGTCGCTGGGCATCGGCAAGGCCGCGGCGCTCAGGACGTTCCATGGCAATACGATCTCACTCTTGCTGCGCTCGAGGAGGCTCCAGACGTCGCCATTCGGCATGTACTCGGTGAGCGACGAGATGTTGTACAGCGTTGTCCACGTGATCCCGACAAAGGTCACAATCTTGGGGTGGCAGAGGCGCGCGCCAAGGTCGATCTCGAGCATAAAGTCTTCAATGCGCCCGAGGTCGTCGGCGAACTGCGGCAAAACGCGCTTCATGGCCACGCGCAGCGGCGGCATGCGGTGCTTCTGCGACGGGTAGATGGTCGCGAGGTACACGATGCCAAAGCCGCCGCGCGCAATGACGCGGTCGCGTACGATCGTGTTGGGCGGCACAAAGCACGACTGGAACCGGGCTTCGAACCGAATGTCGTTGGCGAGGAGGCCGTACCCGACCGTCGGGCGGCTCTCGAGCATGAGCACGCTCGACGGCTGGTCTTCGCAGAACCACACTTGCTTGCTTCGCTTGGCCAGTTGGTACCGCCGCCGATAGCAGCAGCAGCCCGCGATCGCAATCGCCAAGAGCACGCTCACGACCGCGAGTGCGACCCACGCCACGGGCAGGAGACTGGCACTGCTTGTCGTGCCCTCGGTGGGTTGCAGCGCGCCGGTCAATGTGATGACGTCGGCGGCAGCACTCTCCACGAGGCAAAGGGGGATGGTGTGCAGCACGCGGGCTGGCGCATGGCCACCACGGCAGGTCACGTTGCGTCGCGCGTCGTCTTGCGAGCAGTTGCCGTCAAAAAGAGATGCGAGGTGCTCCAGCTGACTTGCGCTGGTGTACAAGACCAGAGAAGGGTTGCCACAGAGGCATCTAGGCGCGCATGAGCTACGACGTACGAGTTTGCAGCACCGTACAACGAGGTGAGGGACGGTGGAAAGGCTGCTGCCATGTCCCGCAGGTCGTTGTTGGCCAGCGATCTATTATAGATGTGTGTCATCACGAGAGATGGCGAGGTGGTAGCGTACAAGCGCCGCAGCTGTGACGGCCACACGAGTTGGCTTACGTTGCCAAGTTTGTTGAACGAGAGATCGCTATAAGAATAAGGATGATGGTCGCCCAACGAGTCCAGCGCCGTACAGATCCTCGAGGTGTTGCGGGAGCACAATGCCGCCCAATGTCGCAATGCGGTTGCCCGAGAGATTCCTACGACCACGTATTGGCTCGAGGACATCTGCACGACGGACGTACAGTGTGCGCAGCGTCGCAGGAAGTGCAATGTCGCCCAGAGACGAGAGGCGGTTCCGTGCGAGCGACCTACGCACGGTTGTCAGCGACAAGATATGGGCACGCTGCGTACAAATATTGGAGCGACGGCGGCAGCTTGACCGCGTCCAGCGATGAGATGGAATTGCCGCTTACATCTCTAGAAACGTGCTGTGAGCTCCGTGCAGCTGCAGTGGACGTACAAGTGCGCGAGGTTCGTGTTCATCGAGAGGTCCCCGAGCGTCGCAATGACATTGTCGTGCACGTCCCTACCCAAGGATAAGATGTTGTGGCGACGGCGGAGAGGTCGTGCCAATGTGTGGTGCCTGCGGGCAGATGAACGTGATCGAGGCTTGTGAGCGCATTGTTCGGGAACGCTCTACACGGCTTGTTGGAGAATGCAGCGTAACGTAGCAGGGGAGGTACAAGCGCTGGGCGAGGACGGCACGGCCCGCTGAGTCAACCCGCAAGTCGTGCGGCAGGCGCTCGAGCCCGACGTTGTCGAGGACACTAAGAAACGAACGTCAAACCTCGCCTTGGATCAGTTGCGTCGTACACGCTGGTGGCGTTGGCAGGCAAGGCCTCGATGTCTGTGAACGGCAAGCTGCAATTGACGACGACGTCCCACTCCGTGCTGTTCGCGACGGGAAAGAGCGTCCCGTTCGGGTACTGCACGCAGGCACCGTCGAGGCACACCGTGCGCAGTGTCGGTCTCTCGACAATGCCGATAGCGGCCATGGCGGCGGTAGCGCTAAGGAGCACGACACCGAGCGTGACCATCGTCACGTCTAATCCGAAAGTGGCCGAATTTTGGGCAACGCAAAGAGCCGGCCGACGATCTGAGCGGAAGGCAACGAGAAGCCAACGCCGCCTTTCGCACCGGAACGCAGCGCTCAGACTGGTGCACACTATACGCGATAGCACTCAGATCTTATCGCGCCGTCAACGCCTTCTCCAGCCACGCACCGCTGTGGGATCTCGGCCCGGTTCGGACGCATCGTCGACAGGCGATAATTTGCCAATCGAAGTTCGAAGTTCGAAGCAGCCGCAGCAGCCTGCCACGTCACCCGAGGTGGGTTTTGGATTCGCGTTCCCTGCGCAAGTCGGTCGTCCCACACGATGTAGCGGCGCCGGTTGCGTAACGTCGTCGCATTGGCTTGAGAGTATGACGCTTTTCGCGTCGTTTTTGGCGTATGTGCATGATTGCTGCGCGGCGGAGCCTCATCTGTGTGCAAAAGCAGGCGCTACGAACCAGCAGTGGGGCCGCTATCACTTTCAAGTTCGAAAGCTACTAGGATTACATGATACGTTATGGACGTTATGGTCGTGGTCCCCAAGGCGAGGGCGACGTAGTTACAGCTAGATTCAAACGTAGTGCCCGCGCTCAGAGCGAGAGGCGTTCGAGCCACGCTGCGAGCTGCGCGGCACTCGGCCTGTCGTCTGGGTCGTGCGAGAGACATTGACGAGCGATATCGAGCACGACGGATGGACACGATGGCGAAAACGACGGCTGGAGCGTCCCTTTCACAACGCGCATCGCAATGTTGGCCGACGCGAGCGCGACCGAGTTGCCGTCGGCGCTCGGGCAGCAGTCGTGGAGGTTGGAGTACGGCACTTTGGCCGTGTCGACTTCGGAGACGAGGACGCCGAACGAGTAAATGTCGGCCTTTTCACTGTACCGCGTGCCTTTGAGCACCTCGGGGGCGATCCATGGCACGGTGCCAATCTCGGCCGTCATGGTGTGGTCGGCGCACTCACGGCTCGCGCCAAAGTCGCCGAGCTTGGCGACATACACGTCGTTCAAGAGGACGTTCTTGGCCTTCAAATCGCGGTGCACGACGACGGGCGAGAGCGCGTGGAGGTAAACCAGCGCTGCAATCACGTCTTGCAGAATCGATGCCTTCGAGACGCCCGGCCCGTGCCACGTGAGCCCATGGCTCCGCTTGAGAAACTGCCAGAGGTCGCCGTGCGACATGAACTCGTAGATGGCCGACAAATTGTACACACTTGTCCATGTCATCCCGACAAATGCGACAATGTTGGGGTGCTCGAGTCTGGCGCTGAGGCGGATCTCGGCCATAAAGTCTTCGAGTACGTTCGGGTCGTCCGCGCGCGTCGGCAGGATGCGCTTCATTGCGACCGGGTGGGACCCGTGGATCGATGCGCGGTACACGATGCCGCAACCGCCGCGCGCGAGCACGGCGTGGCGCTCGACGTCCGACGCCGGCACGCGCCGTGAGCGCAGCACCGGGTCAAAACGCACGTCGTTGGGGATCGAAATCGGCGTCTGGAGCTGCAGGTGCGTCTCGTGGCTTGTCGACGATTGCCATTTGGTCGCTCGGCGGCGATACAACGTGGTCGTCAAGAGAAGCGTGAGAAGGAGAAGCATGCCACCGGCCGCGACGCCAACGACGTGGAGGTAGCCCTCGGACGGTGTGCTCACACTGCCCGTGGACGCCTCGTTGTCGGGCAGCATGCAGATCGGAAAGATGTCAAAGAGCAGCCGCGTGTGCGTGTGGTTGACGCACGTCGTATTGGTGAGCGTCGTGCTAAGGACAATGTCGCACGGTCCCTGGAAGTTCCACTTGCCCGACACACCACGGTGCATATCGTACGTGAGCGACGACTTGTTGGGGTTGCGAAGCCGCGAGAGGAGCTCGAACTGCGAATTGTTGGCGTAAAAGGCTGTAATGGGGTTGCCTGCCAGACACCTACACGAGTTGGACAGATGCAGGACGCTGCAAATCGCGTCGTACGTACAAGGACGAGAGGGACGACGGGAAGTTGGCGCGCACTTCGGTGATGCGGTTGTGCGCGAGCTGCCTACGTGGCAAGGATAAGGTCAACGCCATGTCGCGCAACTTATGCCGCACAGCTGATCGAGCGTCGATGGAAATGCAGCGTCGTCCAACGACGTGATGGCGTTGAACGAGAGGCCCCTAGTCAAGATGAGGAACCGCAGTTCACACGTAGCCAAGCACGGACAAGTCGAGGAGGTTGGTCGGCCACGACACATTGGCCAGAGACGTGAGCTGATTGCCTTGGAGATCCCTACGTACCCATGACAATATCGGTAAGATCTTGGTGCAACGTGGCGATAACGATAAGGTACAAAGTCTGCAGTGCCGACGGGAAGCGGACGTCGACGAGGCTCGTGAGGTTGTTGTACATAGGAAAACTACACCAAGTGCGGTGAGCCCTCGTAACGCAAAGCGCGTCGACGAACAAGTGCAGGAGCGACGACGGAAAAATCGCATCGACGAGGGATTGGAGACGGTTGAACCCGACCAGTCTAGCCACAACTGTAACCTCAACCGCGACCACGGTTAGTCCGACGTACAGAAACGTGATGTGCCGGCTGCGGCTCAAATCGCCCAGGTGCTCGATCTGGTTGTTCGAGAGCTCTCTAATGCGTTCACTTGAGCCATGGGAGTGAACCAACCACGAGGCGTACAAGACGTCGATCGTGTCGGGAAAGCGGACGCCGCTGATCGTCGTGATGGCGTTACTGACCATTTGACTAGACAAAATATATCTGTGAGAAAGGCGCATGTTGAAAAATGCACGTACACACGGTTCGCAATGACGGGACGGCCGCGATCGTCCATCGAGAGGTCGTCGTGAAGCGTTTGGATCCCCAGGTTGTCCAGAAGGCTAATAATCATTAATGCGCGCACAGAGCCTGCGCGACGTACATGGTGGACGCATACGACGGGAGGTGCTCGACGTGTTCGATCGTGAGGTTGTTTCGGATCGCGTACAAGTAGCCAAACTTGAGCGACCCCCGTGCGTCGACGGCCGCGACGTCGGCGCCACGCGCGACGCGTCCATCTGGGAACCAGACGCACGACGGGAACTCGGTCGTCCAGTTGGTCGCAACGACGCCGTCGAAAGTGATGGTGTTGTCGTCGTCGTTGGTTGTGGTAAAGTTGACGCCGCGACAGTCGGTCGTGAGCGTCGTCATTGTCACATTGCGCGGGTGCCGTGACGGTAATAACGTGCCCCATGAGACGGACTCGTTCAGAGCTGCGAGCGCGCCGAGCGGGCACCACAACAGCAGAATTCGCTTCCACATTGCACAGAAATGTAAAGTGAGACGACGCAACGTCGACGCATTGTGGGGCCGTAATGAGCCAGACGAAATCGAACGTCTCGCAACAAGAGTAGCCAAAACGTACCGACCAATCGGAGCGCGCGCTACACACATATGGTCATCAACGCGCGTCTTCGTCTCAGTATGACCATACTCGCAGTAAGTTCCGAACCTACCAAGAAGCTCCCTTCTTGACTCGATCAACCCACGCAATGCGCACCATGAGCCACCTCGTAGACACCCCTCGACGACAAGAGAGTCGGTTTTCTAGTCGATACCAGTCGCTCGAGCCTTGCTTGCAGTACGTACTGAGAGTGGGTTGGCACACTGCGCATGAACGACTGCGCCGGCTCTTTCCCATGTGGTCGCACGTTTCAAATCTCATGGCCACGGTAGGCTGCATGCCGCGTTGGCCCAAGGTGCCAGGTACTGCCAGTCCTACATCGAGGCGTCACTTTCTGATACGCACTGGAGCGAAGACGTCGTTGCAGATCATGCGTAGTGCAATCGATGGCAGCGCCAGTTTGGAAGGCTTTCGCTCGCCAACCGACAAACCGAGTGCGACGACGACGATTCCGATCCGTCGATGCTCCTCTCTTCGCTTCGATCTACAGAGTAAACGATCACGCGTGCTTAATCTTTTGATATCGTACGGGTGGAGTGCGCTGTCCGAAGCTCGTGCCTTGCGTGGCTACCGTATATCGACCGTGTACTCGACGCCAGACTGCTCGAACTACGCAGCCTCTACGTGAGCAGTGTGGTGGCGCGACGGGCCGTGAACGACTGATATGGCAGCTGCTACGACTAGAATGAATACCATTCGCAGTCGCATCTCAACCGTACGTTGTGGGACGTAGGTGCTCACAGACGAACACAGAATCCAGGGCTAGACTGCTAGACTCTATAACAGAGTCAAGGGACACGTTCATCTGCAAAGGTGTCGGGCTACACTGTGCGCGGGACGAGAGCTACCCAGAGAAACATGCGCGCGTGAAGATGCATCCGCTTTGCTTCGTGGTTTTGCAGCAGCGAAAAGCGTAGTACAACGACGGTCTGTTGGCTGTCGAAGGCCATGACGTGGCGCAACCTGTGTTATTGGTCACATTTTACACGTGTTTTTTGGTGTTTTTCACGGTGGTTTTCTGTCGTGCCAAGTACAGTGCGCAAGTGCTCAGTGGCAGCACCCAGGCGCGCGGGTATGGTACGCGTTCGAATTGGCGCCGTGTCAGCGTCGTCGCTGTATGTCCCTCGCCGAACGCGACGTGATTGTGGGACGCTGAGTATACACGCCACTTTGCACCGACCACTGGGTGCTAGTAGTGCTCGGGTTGAGGCACTCACATTGCCTTTTGCGATGACCGACGTAGCTGTCGTCGCCTTTCCAGCGCTGACGACGCTCATCGGCACCGCGATCAACGCGAGCTACTTCGCGAGCGTCGTCGACCCCAACGGGACCCACCTCGTCGACATCGTGGTTGAATCGACAGCCGAATTTGCGCTGCCAACAGGGACCCTCGTCAACGTCGTGCAGAGCTTTCCGCGATACCCGAGCTCCATGTACGCTAGTGTTTCCTCTTGTGCTCTCTCACACACGTGCGAGTAGCAACCTCGCCTACGCCGGGATCTCGCAGCTGCGCCCCGAGCTCGCGGCCGATGACAACAACATGTGGGTCATGGCCACGCGACTGTACGCTGTCGATTGATGCACTTGAATCTAACTGCGTCGATACTGGTGCAGGAATCTGAGTCACAATGCACTCAAGAGCATTGCCAACGTTCACTTTCCGTCCAAAGTGGCCATTTTGTACGGTCCAGTGACCCTCGTTCTTGGAATTGCTGAGGCGACCATGGGTAGGGACGTGAGCTACAACGCTTTGGGGTGTCTTGGCCGAGTGAACCCGTTGCCGAGCGTCTCGGAGAGCACGGCGCTCAATCAGTTGTATCTCAAAAGCAACCACATCACGTCGCTTCTGGACGCTGAGTTTCCACCCGGACTCCAAGTCTTGTACGGGTCGCCTCTTTGCATCTCGTTGCCTCATGCTTTTCATCGCGTAGGGACCTCGAAGACAATGCGATTGATTCGCTGACCAACGTCAAGTGGCCCGTGGCACTGGAGCGCTTGTACTAACGTGCCCGATGTGTCTGGAGCTGATGCGGTCGACTAGGTCCTTGGCGCGCAACCGGCTTCGGAGTAGCGTCAGTGCTCGGTTTCCCGATACGCTCTTGCACCTGTATGCTCGTTGGGCGTCGTATAAGAATGTCAATTACGCTAATATTTGCGTAGCAACCTCGAGGCCAACAACTTCTCGATACTCCACGTCGCCTTGCCCCCACGGCTTAAAACACTGTACAGAGACATCTCACTTGCCAAGCGTTGGCTCACCCACGCTGTGCCCGTAGCTCCCTCGGCGACAACCCACTTCAGTCGCTCTTTGCGACGCCGCTGCAATTCGACCGACTCGCGCGCCTCGACAACTTGACGCTACCACATCAAAACCTGAGCTGCAATGCGTCCACCGAGACGCGTCTTCTCTGGAACCAAATTCCCATCTGCATGATACCCGACGCGTCGACACCCGAGAGCGCGGCATCGCCGTCAGCGGACGCGTGGATCTATGCGATCCTCGGCCTGACCTCGGCGTGCGTGGTCGTGATATTTGTCCTTCTCGCCTACCGCGCCAAGCACCGACGCCGCAAAGCGCTCGCCGAGAACGAAGCGGCGTATGGAAAGCTCTCGGACACGGCCTTCCTCGTGAAAGACCTGCGCATCGACCCGGCGCTGCGGCGGTGTCGCATTCCCGCGAGCTGTCTCACGCGCGGCGCGCTCGTGGCCAAGGGCGGGTTTGGTGTCGTGCACGTCGCGACGCTCAACCGCAGTCCCGAGTTTGTGGACCGCACCGTTGCGCTCAAGAGTCTTCGCCCCGAGCGCGTGCACGAGCTTCGAGCTGTCCAAGCGTTTGTCGAGGAGATCCGGCTCGGCGCCTCGCTGCGCCACGACAACATTGTCGGGTTCATCGGCATCACGTTTGCGTCGGCGCAAAGCCCCACCGCGGTCCTCGAGTACATGGCGCGCGGCGATCTCTGGAGCGTCCTGAGCACCGACCAGCGGTTTGTGTGGGCGACGGCTGAGAACGCACCACACACACCTGGAGCGATTCGGAGCAAGGAGGCTGTCTGCTGCGACGTCGCCCGAGGTTTGGCCTATCTGCACAGCGAGGTGACGCCCGCCGTGATCCACCGCGACCTCAAGTCCAAGAACGTCTTACTCAACGAGGCGTATGTCGCCAAGCTCAGCGATTTTGGCACAAGCCGCGAGTTTGGACCAGACGACCACGTGCTGACGGCCGAGGTGGGCACGGTGCCGTGGATCGCGCCCGAAGTGCTCAAGGGCACGCGGTACAGCGAAAAGGCCGACATCTACTCGTTCGGCGTCCTTCTCTCGGAGCTCGACACGCACCAAGTGCCGTACTTTAACCAGATCGTGACGCTGCCTATCGGCGGCATCAACGTTACCCTCACCAAAGCCCGAATCGCGATGCTTGTCGCTGCCAACGAGCTCCGACCCGCGTTCTCGCGGTCGTGTCCGCCGGCGATCTTGGCCATCGCCACACGCTGCCTCGCGCACGAGCCCGACGAGCGGCCGACCGCACGGCAGCTTCTGTCCTCTCTGTCCTCTCTGTGCCTCGAGGGTGAAGACTATCATGTCGTATAATATATGTTGCGTTGACGAGCTTGTTCGTGCTGATGCGCTGGCCGTGCTGGCAGCAATGGAGGCGAGGTGGCTTCAAGTTGCGTGATTTCAGTCCTTCGATATCCGGATAATATAACCGGATACCGGAGCTTGTGGTGGTCGGACGCAATTGCATTTGATCGACGTAGCAAGAGTATGGGATGGCCATGATGATCCAAGTACCGCTCGAGGTCCGGCAGCCAACGATGTGCATGTAGCGTACAGCAGCGACGACGTCTGCGCGTGGCTGGAGCAAGCCCTCCTCCTCCTGCGAGGCAGACCCTGGGACGCACGAGCTGCGTCAACGTCGTCGTACAGCAAACAATCTCCACCCAGGCGAGGAACCTCTGTACAAGCACTCGAGTGTTCTAGAAGGATGTGGATGCCATGACTCCGTGCATGCTGCTACAATGCATCGTCGGTGGTCTTGCCATCGACCAGAAGAGAGCAATCAAAAGGCGAAGCTGAGCCATCCCATGTAGAGATCAAATGCTATTACTAGTTGACCCATGCTTTTACTCGTCTTCGTCTTCACTCGCATCGATCTCCAGTGCATTGGCGGGCCGCGCCTTGCCAATCTATATCGTATCAGAGATGGAGGCAAAAACGAAGGCTACGGCCCACCTCCTGCTGCAGGGCCTCTTCCAAGAGCTCCAAGGTGACCTTGGTCGCATGGATGTCGCTGCGCAGACAAGCCAGCGCGGCTTCTTGGAACACTGCATTGAGCTGGCCCACGGACGCGCCTTCGGTCGCCGCGACGAGCCACTGCGTAAAGGCGTCGGCGGTTGCAAAGCGGTCTTGGATCGCGACGGGTGTCTGCGCCAGCAAGTGGGTGATGACCTCGGCGCGCGCGTCTGCGTCTGGAAACGTGAGCCCAATCTCAAGGTCAAAGCGCCTATCGAGCATTATCAGCCAGCTGCACACAACACAGGTTGCGAGTAGTACCCGGGGCGCAAGATCGCAGGGTCGAGCTGGCTGGCGTGCGTCGTCGTCGCCACGAGCACCACGTGCTGACGCAGGAACGCCTCGTGCGTCATCGTGCGCATGGCTACGACAAATGCAATGAGTTTAGCACCGTCTCAAGGTGTCATGGGACCTGACGCCGACGACGACGAGCCGACGCCGTCCATTTCCAAGAGCAACATGGAGAGGACGCGGTCGAATGTCTGCTCGGAGCTCGTGTCAAAACCGCGGACCGGCGCCAAACTCTCAATCTGATCAAAGAGGAGGACGCAGGGCGCAGCGAGGCGCGCGGTGGCAAAGAGCGCCGAGAGCGCCTGTTCCGTGCCACCGACAACTTTCGTGACCAAGTCGGTGCACATGACGGGTACGACGGTCGCGTGGGCACCGACCGTCGCCGACACATACGCGAGCGCGTGGCTCTTGCCGCTCCCCGACGGGCCCGTGAGGAGGACACCCCGGGGCGGCGGGATGCCCATTCGCCGGTACGCCGACGAGTCGCGCAGCGGCCCGACGACCGCGACATCGAGTGTCTGGAGCGCGTCAGCCACGCCAAACATGGGCACAAGAAGCGAGGTGGCGGTCTTTTGGCCTTGGAGCACCGACGGGCGCACGACGCGAAGCCCAGCCTCAATGTGGTGAGCCTCCAGGCGGCCCGGGGCGCCGTTCACCACGGACGCCATGGCGGCTTCGCGGACGAGGCTGAGGAGGTCAGCACCAACAAAGCCCGACGTCCGCGCCGCCATGAGCTCGAGCAAGTCACTTTGCACGTCCATGTGCCGACATATCTAGACCAAGAAGCGGTCAGTTCTCCCCTCGGGGAATAGACAGTGAGTGGTATGGCATTCTACCGTCGTCAAGACGGCGTGGCGCTCGGGCAGCGTCGGCGGTGCCATGCTGAGGCACAGATCCAATCGTTTGTTGGTCGTGAGCGCAGGGTCCAGCACATCTCTGCGGTTTGTCGTTGCTAACGTACGCACATAAGAGAGCGATACCAAATAACGAAGGACGATGGTCTACCGAGGACAGCGACGTGGCGAGGAAGAGTCCGAAGTACCGCGAGGAGCGTCGCAAGCACCGACTTGTCGAGCGCCGTCTCGGAACTAGCTGCGATCGCATCGACGTCTTCGAGGACGACGACGGTCCATGGTGCCCGCGACGCCTCGTGGAAGATGTCGAGAATCTTGTGTTCGGACGCGCCGGCGTTGGTCTGAAACACATCGGGCGACGAGACAAAATGGAAGCGCAAATTGGGAATCGAACCCGCGAGGAGCCGCAAAAAGTGCGACTTGCCGACGCCGGGGACACCGACGAGCAGCGCACCGACACCGTGGGAGTTCGAGGTACCTTCCTGGAACCGCTGCGTGAGGAAACCAATCGTGTCGTGCACGACGGACGCATGACAGGCGAGCTCCCGCGCAACGTCCACTGCCGCCGACGCGTGAATCGGTCGACCGCATGACGAAGACGACGAAGATAAAGTGCCGTTTGAGAAGGTCACAGTCGTGGTTGCCGTGACACAGCTCGCAAAGCTGCTGTCGTCGTCTGCGTCAACAGAAGCGACAACTGCGATGTCGAGGTCATTGCGCCATCGCAACGGTATCCGCCGACCGGGCCAGACGAGCGTTCCCATGAGCAGCTACAAGCAGCCATGGTGATCCGCAGGTCGAGTACGCAACACGTTACCTTCGGCGCCAATTGCTCCATGGCCAGAAGGATCTTGCGCGTATAGGCAGTGGGCGCCATGTTCATCGTCAGGTGCAGGCGGAGGGTGGCTGGTATGAGGTTGTTGTCGAGCTGCTCGAGGTGTAGCGTCGTCGCCGCCGCTTCGCCGAGCGCTGTCAAGAGCCCCAATGACGGTATCGCAACTGATGCAAGATTCTCAACGTTGATGGCGGCTAACGCGGCCCCAAGGTCGTGTGCCGGAAGCTCGCGGACGTGGCGGATCTGGGCCACCGCTCGCGGCTCGTTCGTGGCGAAGCGCAGGACCGCCAGCGTGGGCTTTGTGATCTGGTGCGTGAACGCGGCAAAGACATCGCCTTGGACATAGAGAAGGCTGCGCGTGTCCACTGCGCTGGACTCCAAGGCCAGGGCTGCCGGCCCGGCGGCCGCGATCGCCACCTCGATGCTGCCCATTGAAGCTCGCCTTGAATCGCGACGTTTGATTGGTCAATTCCAGTTTGACTAAACCCACCCAACCATTCCATGTCGCGCTGGCGAAATTTTGCCCAGGAAGCTTGCAACACTATGGTCATCCATGGTCGTTCGTTGGGCACTGGATCTTCTTGGCTTCTACACGAAGCGCACTTCTACGGCTTTGTGGTCCTGGCTGGGTTTTTCGAGTATCATCGTTCCTATTCTCTTACATACTGAAACCAGCTACCGGTACATTGGTTCAACTTCGTCGCGGTCGTTCGAGTGAGGACTCGCACCGACTTGCCTTCCTCAGCTCATTGATGCACCAACCCGTGGATACGAATAGCTCATCGCGATCCACAGCCATGCTGCGACAACAGACTATCGTTCCGAGTTGTGTGTGCAAATACATGTAAGTCCTGGAGTTCTGATATGCAATACCACTCACTGATCTTGAACCGGGCGCTGTATGTAGCTTGGCTTCGGTGGGCAATGTTGACGGCCAGTGGCACGGACATCATCAGGCGTATGAACGTTGGCGGTAAGGTGGCCTTGTTCGTCGCGTCGCGCGGCTTTGATGTGGCCAACGCACGGGCTGGCTAAATGCACGCAGCAATTCCATCGTGCCAGTTCCCGCGCAAATTTTGATGGGGATGTTTCATCACGCGAACCGTCACTTCGCTCCTCCCAGGTGCCATCGCCACCCAAGCATCAACATACCCTTGCACACGCTTGGCAAGCTTCATGTCCACAGGGTTGGAACTTGAAGGTATAGGACATGTGCAGCCTTCGACTGACAGCGCACGTGGCTACGCTCTGTATCGTCGCGTTGCGATAACTGTGCCAATATTTGCGTCTGATTCTAGACGGAGCACATCGCAAGACGACTGCAGTAACGACTACCGTCGTTCAATGGGCGGCCAGGAGACGACGACGCGAGGGCACATGCAACGGCCCGAAAATTTCCTTCAACCCTTGCTCATGCTTACGACGAGCTACGCTGGCGTCATTGCCGTTCACTGCTGGACGCATCTACGCTTATGACTGTCTAGTCTAGTCAGAGAGGACTAGACTTCACGGCCTGCCAGTAAGGACAATGACAAGCCCACAGTACAGTGAACAGCATTCGAGCCTGGAGAACCGGAACCGTAAGCATCATCGGCAGCGGACGGCGTGAGGCGTTCACGTGGAGAGACGCATTGATGTACACAATTGTTTCAGGCGAGACAAGCACCTCGTTCCGTTCTCTGTTACGAAGCCCCGTATCTGTGATGTGTCCCGATGCCAGCAACGTCTCGGCGGTGATCAAGACGAAACCGCAGTCGCCACGTGGTTAAACGGGTAAACTAGCAGCACTGGTATTCCACGAGAGGTACAGTACAGTAATACACAACTGATGACAATGGATTTACGATATGAGACCATCACGGCCCGCTGATTGCAGCCGACAAGTCTCTGCCATACAGAGCGACCCCGGAATCATCATTATTGATAACCGACAGACCGAAACGAGTCGGTCGCTAACCGGAACGAGTCTGTCGTTAACCTAACGAGTCGGTCGCCGAGTCAATGGTAGTCATAGACGCTGCATCTCTCACACTGTACTGGCCTTCATCGTTTGTTGCTTCCTGCTGCGCTACGTGGCTAGTTACGTCTGAAAATTTAAGAGGCGTCAAGTGCCTCGTACGGTGCGATCTTTGCTTGGACGGTGTGGGTGGTCCTTCCAGCTGGCGCTGCCACGTGGTGGTGGTGGTAGCGCAGCGTGGTCGTCACTTTTCAAATGACGATCTTGACAAACGAGGCCCTCGAACGTCGGCGCGCTCGGAAGCGCAAAAACACCCAGGCCTGGCGGCTCAAGGAGCACGTACGAACGTCGTTCTCTTTCGACTTTCATCGGTGATGGAATCATCTCCTTTCGTAGCAACTCATGGAGTCGCTACGGCAGCAAGTGGAGGCGCTCGAGCGCCAGCTCCGAAAAGATGCCGAAGTTCGAACAACAGACCTCGTGCCGCGTAGCAGCGAGCTCGAAGCGCTGCGCCAACAAGAGACTATGCTCACCCAGCAAAACGCCAAGCTGCGCGAGGCGCTGGCACGACGGCAAGCGCTCTTCGCCCTCCCGACCCAACTCGTACGTCCATTGACAATTAGCGCCTCAGCGATTGCAGACCGACAATTTTTTGTTTGTGTAGCCCCCGTTTCGGTTGGCCGACCCTCGGCTCTACGACAACGTGTTTCTTCTTCACCAAGTGGAAGCCACGCTCCAGTGCCTCTCCGAGACGGTGCCCCCCGCGCTTGCCCATGCGCACCCCGAGATGCTTCGCGGGTGGTCCACCAAGCACGCCTGCAACGGCGGTCTCGTGTACGTCGACGCCACGTGCAGCCTCGGGCCCGATGCGTCGACCGATATGCAGTCGGCTTGCGATGCGCACTGGGAAGTCTTCAACGACAAGGAGCTCTACTCGCAAATGAATGCCCATGCGCTCGACTACAAGGTACTACGCAATGCCTTCACACCCATACGCTAACACACATGTGTAGGTCATCCACCGAGCGCATGACGACATGCTAGTCGCTTGCTCGACGATCCTCTTTCCTGACAACGTGCTCGTCACGCGCTACATGATCCTCTACAAGATACGATTCCGTGATGGCTTTCACTCGTGCTGCATGAGTTTTGCACCCGACCTGAGCGAGATAACGACGTGCACATTGTACGCAGTTGACGTCGTCGTTGATCTCATGTGCGAGTAGGATGAAGTATGCAATCGTGCATGGCAGCGTCGTCGCCCAAGCCCTCTCGCGGAGCAGCGTGCCACGCCACCTCGATTCAACCATTCTAGTGCCCAGGATGATCGAGCAGCTCTCCAAGTGGCTCGACCAGATATCACCACGAGTCGACCACAACACTGAGTTCACCGTGGCTCTGTGACCAAAAATGTACCTGGCGTTCAGGCCCTTCCCACTTTGGCTGATATCACTTGCTTTGATCGTTTCGTCCTTGCGTTAGCGCCGATTTTGACCGCATAAAGACAGAGCAATGACACAATATGTGAAATGGTGGTGATGGTGACACCGACGATTTTGTAC